CCTTGTCAGATATGTTATTACCAAATATTTTTTCCCAATCTGTAGGTTCTCTTTTGACTCTTTTGGAGAAGTCTTTGGAAGCACATAAAAATTTAACTTTTAGAAGGTCCCAATCATCTGGCTTTTCTTCTGCTGTTGGTGCATTTTGAATTATGCTTGGTTAAAAGGACTAAGATTTTAAAAGCAAGCAGACAAACACACAAAGATACTAACCTCAAATTCAGCTGTCTTACGCCAGTCAATAGGTTATTGGGTAGACGGACACTGGAAACACTCAGTGCTGCAGCTTCCAGGATGTGTGAGATAAAGTCAGTCTCAGGGAGGTTTGTTCCCAGGCTTTTATATGGTTTCTAGGTGATATGATTGTAGGTGCTCTCTTTAAACCAACCAATTCAATCCAGTCATCTTAGGTGGAGGCAAGACATTTAATCAAAACTCACCTTCAAACAGAACTCTTGCATGGGAGTCCATCCAATCTAACACAATCAATCCAACAGAATCCTAGTCAACTTAATCCAGCCACATTTGCATAATCCAATTAATCTAATAAACCACTGTTACCTAACATCTAAATAATTAATTTGCTAAAGTTTCCCATTTAAGATATATAGTTGCGTATTTTTTTTTGTTGTTGTAGGTGCAAGTTTACAGAGCAGCATTTTTTTTTTTACATTCAACATTATGTATACATTTAGTTTCATTCCCCATTTACTAACCCTAACCCTAAACCAGTCTCCTCCCCTCTCTGCCCAGTAACCCTCCCCCTGGGTCCCTCACAGTTATGCACTCCTGTGTGTCCTGCATTTCCTCCCTGCAAATGTTGCCCCTCTGGTGCCCTGTGGTCAGTTGCTCCAAGGGATGCATTTCCATAGAGTATATGGGTCCGTCACCCTGGGTTGAGTGGTCTTCGTGTACATCTTGTAAACTATTGGGCTGAGAGCCAGCCCTTAGGAGTGAGTTTTATTCCAGGCCTAGAATGTGTCCCAGAGCCACAGTACTGGTGTTACATGATGTAGTTTCTTTAAAAACTTTATTTTTAAAAAGTCTTCCCATACACTGAAATTAAGAAATATTTACTCAAAATTTTCTAATGCATGCCTACATTCCTCCAGTTTCCTGCTTAGTCCTTGATGCCTCTCACATCTGTATTTAAAAATCATATACCAAATCTAACCCACTGCCATGGACTGCATTCTGACTCAGAGCGACCCCCATTGAGTTTCCAAGGTGGGAAATCTTTATGGACCTACATTGTCCATTTTCCTTCCTCAGAGCAGCTGATGTGTTTGAATCACCAACCTTCTGTTTAGTAGTCAAATCCCTTTGCCACTGCCACCAGATCTCCTTGAAAAGCTTAATAAGTGAGGATATAATTGTATTTGTTTCCACCCAACTTTCACACACACACACACAAAAAAACCCAAAACACTGCCCTGAGTTGATCCTGTCCACAGTCAGCCTATAAAGTGCCGTGTCTGACAAAACTGCACACACAGGTCACAAAATGAAGAGACATAAAAGGATTAATGTTCTTTTAAAAGGAATGGGGGCCAGGTGGACGCTCTGCATATTCTGTGAGAGCGACCCCTAATGTATCCGTCCTGCTTTATTTATACATAATCATACGATTACCTCATTATTCTTGATATTTCTTTAAAACAATCAAGTAGTCAATCAAATACTCTTCTACAATAAAATCAAATATTCCCTTATAACAATCAGCTATTAATTAAAAGTTAAAATTTTACTCCTTCCCACACCCAAAGTCATTTTCCCATGCCCAAATGTATTGGATAATTAATTAGGTTAACATCTCTTACAGGACTAGCAAATAATCATTAAGATACATTATTCTAAAACATAATATGATTGCTAAGGCACATGATTCTAAAAAATGGTTTCTAAGGTGTACTATTCTTAGGGCAAAACATTATTCCAGGGAACCAGGTTAGCAAATATTCTGCTGGGGCAACGTTCTGCCCCAGGAACACAAAGCTGGAGCCAAGCAAGCATTCACCC